GCATGAAGGTTCCAATTTCTCCATATCATCATCAATACTTGTTAATTTCTTTTTAAAAATGTAATATAGCCTTCTACTAGATGTGAGGTGATCTCATTTTGGTCTTGATTTGCATTTCCTTATCACTATATGATGTCAAGAATCTTTTCATTTGTTTCAGCCATTTTTATTTTTATTTTATTTTATCTTATTTTTGTTTCAGCCATTTTTATATCTTCATTGGAGGAAAGTCTATTCAAATCTTTTTTGAATTGGGTTGTTTGTTTTGTTTTGTCCGAGTTCTTTATACTTTATGCCTGTTAAATCTTTACCCGATATATGATTTATAAATATTTTCTCCCATTCTTTTCACTTTCTTTGTACTGTTCTTTGATGAACAAAAGTTTTAGATTTTGATGAAGTCCATTCTACCCATGTTTGTTATTGTTACTCATATCTAAAAATCCATTGCCAAATCTGAAATCATGAAGATTTACCCCTATATTTCTTCTAAGAGTTTTATGGTTTTAGCATTTATATTTAGTTTGTTTATCCATTTTGATTTTATTTTTTATTTTTTAATATGATGTATGGCAGGGATTCAACTTCATCTTTTTTGCATGTGGAATTCCAGCTGTCCCAGCAACAGCTGTTGAAGAGATCATTCTTTTCCCATTGAATGGACTGGTATTCTTTTTGAAAAATCAATGGACAATATATATTTGGTTTATTTCTGGACTCTCAATTCTGATTCATTGGTCTGTATGCTGTCTTTATGCCAGTGCCATACTATTTGATTACTGTAGCTCTGTAGTAATTTTTGAAATCCAGAAGTGAATTCTCCAACTTTATCAAAATTATTTTGGTTATGTCGGTCCCCTCACAAATTCATATAAATGTAATGTTTGGCTTTTCCACTTCTGCAAAAAAGGCTGTGGAAATTCTGATAGAGATTGTGTTGATTCTGTAGATTGTTTGGGTAGTTTTTACATTTTAACAATATTAAGTCTTCTAGACCATGAACATGGGCTGTTTTTTCCACTTATTTGTGTCTTCCTTAATTCCTTAGCAATGTGTTGTAATTTTTGGCATACAAGTCTTTTAACTGATCTTAACAGAAAAACGTTCAGTCTCTCATCATTAGGTTTGCTGTGAGATTTTCGTCGCTATCCTTCATTGTGTTGAGGAAGTTCCTTTCTATTCCTACTTTTCTGAATAGGTTTGAGATGAAAGGGTTAAATGCCTTTCTCCATCCACTGAGTAAGAATGTTTTTCTCCCTTTTGTTCTATCATTGAGGTGTATTACATCAATTGATATTTCTCATGTTGAATTATCCTTGCATTCATAGGGCAAATCCCACTTGGTCATGATGTAAAATCATCTAAAGATGCAGTTAGATTTGGATTACTTATATTTTGTTGAGGTTTATTATTTGTTATTGCTATTGAGTTTTGTATCTATATTCATAAGAGATTATTGGTCTGATTTTCTTATGATGTTTTTGGCTTTAGTAAATCAGTGTATTGCCAGCTTTATAGAATGGGTTAGGAAGTGTTCGCTCTTCAGTTTGTTGGTAGAGCTTAAATAGGTTTGGTGTTAATTCTCCTTTAAATGGTTAATAGAATTCACCAGGGAGGAAAAAAAGACCAACAACAAAAAACAATTCACCTGGGAAGCGACCTATTCCATACTAGTTGTTTCTTAATTATGTTACTTTAGGTCTGTGGTCGGCAAACTGCTGCTCTCGAGCCACATGCGGCTCTTTGGCCCCTTGAGTGTGGCTCTTCCACAAAATACCACGGCCTGGGCGAGTCTATTTTGAAGAAGTGGCGTTAGAAGAAGTTTAAGTTTAAATAATTTGGCTCTCAAAAGAAATTTCAATCGTTGTACTGTTGATATTTGGCTTTGTTGACTAATGAGTTTGCCAACCACTGCTTTAGGTAATAATTTGTGTGTAGGAATTTGTCTATTTCATCTAAATTATCTTATTTGTTGGTGTGTGTTCACTGTATTATCTTATCCCTTTTATTTCCTTAAGGACAGTAGTAATGTCTCTACTTTCATTTCTGATTTTATTCTTTGTCAGTCTTGCTAAAGGGTCTATCAATTTTGTTCATCTTTTCAGAGAACCAACTTTTGCTTTCATCAACTTTTTAACTCTAATTTTTATAATTTTTAAAAATCCTCACCTGAGGACATATTTGTTTGCTTGTTTTTGAAAGAGAAAACATCGATATGAGAAATATCCATCAATTGCCTTCGGCCCTCGCCCCAAACTTGCAACCTGGGTATGTGCCCTATTAGGATTTGAACCCACTGCCTTTTGGTTTACAGGATGACATGCCAATCAACCGAGCCACACTAAATAGATATAGCTATTTATCTCTATTTTTCATTTTTTCCTTTCTTCGTTTGGGTTTAGTTTGCTCCCCCCCCCCCTTTCTCTTTTAGTTAGGTTACTGATTTTATAGCTTCTTTTTTAATGTAGACATTTATGACTGAATTCTCCTCTGAACACTGCCTTCATTGCATTCCATGGCTTTTGCTTAACATGCTTTTTCATCAAAGTATACATTCTTCATTATTGACAGATAGTTATACCAGATGGGTTGTAGGTGCTGGGGATAGAGAGGTGACTACCAGAGACAGGCAGTATTTATATGTGATGGAGCTGCCCTTTAAGGTAAACATACATGACAGCAATTGCTGGTTTCAAACGCATAAAATGGTAGTGTGATAGAGAATGGTGGTAACACTAATATTTAAATTTTATTTTAAATAGGTAACATATACACATGGTTTGAAAATAAAAGGATTTTAAAAGGCCCTCGCTGGTAAAGTGGCAGGTTCAATTACCAATCAGGGCACATGCCTGGATTGTGGGCTCCATCTCCAGTAGGGTGCTTTCATGAGGCATTTGGATCAATGGTTCTCACCAAGTTTCTAATTCCTCTCCTTCCTCTCTCTGAAATAAATAACATTAAAAAAAAAAAAAGGGGGGGGGCAACCTGTTGAATGGGGAAAAAAATATTATGAAAAGTTCTAGTTTGCAAAATCTCTCTTGTACCTTTTACCTCATTATCTGCTGGCCTGCCAGATTCCTTTCCTGCCAGAAGTAACTATTTGTAGGATCATGAGGCAACTGGTATCAGTTGTGAGAGCAAAGGTGGAGGGAATTCAGGGCTTGCAGAGTGGCTATTTACCAACTAGAACAGAAGTATTTCTATTTTAATCAATACAGTCATACTGGTGTACATTGATTGAATATTCATGATACTTATAATCTCATATTAGTCTTAGTCTTCCAGTGTTTTTCCATCAAATACAAACACCAAAGATAATGTACTCTCTCTGCTCCTTGCTTTTCTTTTTTAAATCCTCACCCAAGGATATTTTTCCATTTTTTATTTTTATTTTTTAAAATATATTTTATTGATTTTTTTACAGAGAGGAAGAGAGGGATAGAGATTTAGAAACATCGATGAGAGAAAGTCATCGATCAGCTGCCTCTTGCACACCCCCTACTGGGGATGGGCCAGCAACGAAGGTACATGCCCTTGACCGGAATCAAACCGGGGACCTTTCAATCCGCAGGCCCACGCTCTGTCCACTGAGCCAAACCGGTTTCGGCTCCATTTTTTTTTTTTTTTCTTTTAAAAGAGGGAGTGGAGGGGGAGACAGAGAGAGAGAGAGAAAGAGACAGACAGACATGGGTGAGAGATACATCAACTGGTTATCTCCAACACGTGCTCTAACTAGGGCGGGGGATCCAATCTATAATTGAGGTACACACCCTTGATTAGAATCAAACCTGGGACCCTTCAGTCCAAGGACACATGCTCTATCCACTGAGCCAAACCCATTAGGGCTGCACCTTGCCTTTTAAACTTAGCAATAAATCCTGGAAATCTTTCTCTGTCAGTTTACAGAGCGTGACCTCATTTTTCCCCAGTTGCATAATTGCATAGAGTAGTTGTTTGTTTGTTTGTTTGGGGGTTAGCTGAGCCTGTGCCATGTGTTGGCTGAGGCAGCTCCTCCAATGACTGGCCGCTCAGTAGGGTGGGGTGACAGCTGGGTTTCAGGAATGAAAATGGAAGCCGGAGGCCCAGGCTTCAGTCATGTCTGGCCAGCCAAGGCTCCGGTGGAGGGAAAAAGATCTCACCCCTCAATGAAGAGCACGTGGATCCGAGAAGGGAGGCATTGTCGGCACCAGTGTCTGCAGACTCTGCCTCACCACAAGGTGTCCACCGCCCCCTCTTCTTCACTTTAGTCTTTTAAAGGTTGAACCCACAGTCCGGTATTCTGGATTGGCTTTGACATTTCCTCTAAACGTCTTCGTTTCCTGTAAACTGCAAGACAAAATACCTGATTCAGATTAAACATTACTTAGAAAAGTATATTGTACCACTGGTGATCCTTATGTTTTACAATCAACTTTTGCCAGGACGGGATAATTTTAAAAACTAAGATCAAATCATTCCTCAAACATAATCCCCTAGGCTCTAGGGGCCTAGCGGGTTCTCATTTGCCAAAGCCCTTAGGTCTCACCGGCCTGACCCTCCACGCGCATCTAAGACGCATGCCTCCTTCCCGCCCTCCGTCCGGGTCAGCCCCAGCCCGGGCCTCACAACGTGCCCACGGCCGCCGCGCGGGCGGACAGGGAGGGAGGAGGGGGCGGGAGAGGCGTTTCTGCGCATGCGTACTTCAAGCGCCGTGCTGCTGCGTATACTGGTGTGGTGCGCAGGCGCGCGCCCGTGCGATGGCCAGAAGGTGCGAGTTGGCAGGTGTTGGTACTGGGCTACGTCACTGAGGGCAGTCGGACCATCCCCGCCCCGAGCGCCCGCGCATGCGCACTCTCCGCCTGCCCGCGCTCTTTGGCCTGGAAGACGCAGGACTGCGTCAGCATGCGCGCTCTGCGTCCGGCCGAGCCGCGCCGCCTGGAAGCGGGGCGCAGGCGTGCGCATGCGCATTGCACGGAGGGCGCTCGGTGACAGGTGTCGAGTCCCCTCGGCGACTCGCGATGGGGTGGCCCGCTTTGCTGCTGCTCTTGCTGTGCGCGGTGGGCGTGCGGGGGCTCTACTTCCACATCGGCGAGACCGAGAAGCGCTGCTTCATCGAGGAAATCCCCGACGAGACCATGGTCATCGGTCAGGCGGGGTGGGGGTAGGGGTGGCGGTGGGCAGGGCCCTGCGTGTCCCTCAGGCGCGGCCGCGGTCCCCTTCGGAGTGTGGGAGCCGGCAGTCGAGGCGCATTGTGACATCTTTGTCGCTCCGCAGGGAACTACCGCACCCAGATGTGGGATAAGCAGAAGGAGGTCTTCCTGCCCTCGACACCGGGTCTGGGCATGCACGTGGAGGTGAAGGACCCCGAAGGCAAGGTAAGGCACCCACAGGCCGTGGCCTGTGCGCCTTGCAGACGGCGTCAGGCCGCCCTTCTCCAGAGCCCTGTGGGTGTGCGGAACTGGGAGACCGCCCACTGCCCTGGAGAGGTCCGTGCAGGGGCTTCCACTGACCTCTGTGCTGGTTGCAGGTGGTGCTCTCGCGGCAGTATGGCTCGGAGGGACGCTTCACCTTCACCTCCCACACCCCCGGGGACCATCAGATCTGCCTGCACTCCAACTCCACCAGGATGGTGCTTTTCGCTGGCGGCAGACTGGTAAGAGGATGTTCTTGCATGCCCGGCCGGTGTGGCTCAGTGCTTGAGCTGCGACTTGTGAACGAGAAAGTCACGGTTGGATTTCCCGTCTAGGGCACGTGCCTGGGTTGCAGGCTGGATCCCTAGTGGGGGGCGGGTAGGAGGCAGCCAATCAATGATTCTCTCCCATCAGTGATTTCCTTTCTGAAATCAATAAAATAACATTTTAAAAAAGGAAGAAAGTTCTTTCGCTGTTGCAGCTCAGAATTTCACTGGGTTCCAAAGTTTTGATTTATCTCCATCATTATTTGTGACCTTTGTGGCATAGTCACAATTGGGGAGACAGATGTTGCCCCTCTGTCCAAAAGACAGGGATGAGTGGGTTGCATCGTCTGGAACATCGTCTGAAGTTCCCCCGCTCATGTTTCTTACCCTGTGGCTTTGGGGCTCTGACCCTGTGTCCTTGTAGCGCGTGCACCTAGACATCCAGGTTGGAGAGCATGCCAACAACTACCCTGAGATTGCTGCCAAGGACAAACTGACAGAGCTGCAGCTCCGAGCCCGCCAGCTGCTCGATCAGGTGGAGCAGATCCAGAAGGAGCAGGACTACCAAAGGGTAAGCGCATGTTGCTGTACTGGGACCTGGCCATTGACCTTTATACCCACCACACCCACTGGAGTTTCTGCTTGGGGCCTTCCCAACGAACTGTTCCGAGAATGGAATGGAGGGTATTGATTTAGAGCAGCAATTTTAAACTTTTTCATCTCATGTGGCACACATAAATTAATTACCAAAATTTCTGTGGCACACCAAAAAACATACTTTTTTTTTTTCCTGATCTGACAAAAAGTAGGTATAACTTTTTTGTTTGTTTTTTTGTTAATCCTTACCCGAGAATATTTTTTCCATTGATTTTCAGAGGTAGTGGAAGGGAGTGGGGAGGAGTTGGGGGAAAGAGAGAGAAACATTGATGTGAGAGAGACACATTGGTTGTCTCCCAACCAGGGCTGTGCCCTTGACTGGGAATCAAACCTGAGACCCTTCGGTTCCCAGGCTGATTGTCTAACCATTGGGCCATTGTCATCCAGGGTTAGGTATAATTCTAATTCATTCATACTGGATGACTGTTGTTGGGTTGGCTGTTGTCATTTATTTATTTGACCATCTAAGGGAAAAGAAGTCAGTGCCCCTGCCTAAATAGTCAGGTATCGCATCTTTTAAAAATGGTTGCTGCACAACGGTTGAAAATGTCTGGTCTAGAGGGCTCTTTTCAAGTGCTATTCAATAGAGTAAAAATCTACGCACCATCTGTTCACCGTGGGATCTGGTTTGAAATGGCAGGAGCATGACTTCATCGCGGTGGGGTGCATCCCGAGGCCGCACGCACTTCTGTGGGGCACTCCCAGAGGAGTCAGGCCGACAGGCATTGGGTGTCCTGATTGAGAAGCCCTGTGGGAGGGGTGGCTAGCCCAGCCAGCACTGGTTTCCCTGCACATTTGATCCCGGGTCCGCTGTTCCACAGTATCGTGAAGAGCGCTTCCGTCTGACCAGTGAGAGCACCAACCAGAGGGTCCTGTGGTGGTCCATCACTCAGACCGTCATCCTCATCCTCACTGGCATCTGGCAGATGCGGCATCTCAAGAGCTTCTTTGAGGCCAAGAAGCTGGTGTAATGTTCTCTCCGAATGACCCTTTCACCTCAGTTATTTGGTACTTTCCCCACCCTATACCTTATCCACCTGGCTTGTGAGGGGGAGGGAAAGAAAATATATAAACCACATTGGTTCCCTGGCAGCAAAGCATCCCGATCAGCCACTTACTAATGATGGTTCTCAAGAACACAGGACGTTGGTCCAAGCTTTCAAAGATATTTGAGGTTTGTGCACGGTCAGATCTGACCCAGGACTAGGTCTCACTTCTCTCACCTCCAGTGATTTCCCTGCATCCTGTCACCACCTGAGCAAATGACGAGTCTCTCTGGTAACTTCTGTCCTCATCTACTCATGCAGTAAGCTACGGCAATGCCCCAAGAGGCCCTGCCTCCCTGCTTCCGTCAGTCCTGGGCTCTCCCAGTGGCTTTGTGAATGTAAATAAGGGGCAGAGGCCCTAGAGGAATGAAATGATTTTCTATATATTAGAACTATTTTTTGATAAAGTATATATTTTCTTTCCTAGTTTAAGTGTTAACTGCCTGTATGACTAGCAGAAAACACCAACAGCCCCTTGCATTCTGTCTGTCCACACTTTTTTGATAAGTACTATGGCAGCTCTCAGGATTCCAGCCGTCTGTAGGCCAGAAAGCAGATGTCCCCACTGCTGTCAAGGCCTTAAAGAGAGGGCCAAGCAGACTCCTCTGGGACACTTGAGATTTCACAAGACAGGACCTCGCTAAGAGTGTAGGGCAACCTCGCACAAGGCAGGGCACTCCTACCCACCCTCTACCCTTGACCTTTATTTAAGCTAAGGTAAATGTCTTCTGGAACCAGGTTTGGTTCTTTATACAGATTTTTCCAGTGAAATAAAACGTGTTGTACTAGCTGTGTTTGAAATGAAGTGAGAGGTTACCGGCAGAGTGGAGGCACGTGGGTACAGAGGAAGGGCTACTGGCCTGGACTGCCCCTGCAGCTGCCTGGAGTGGACTGCAGCGTGTGGGCTCATAGTGCTAGGGCTTGTTCTGATCTGTCTTGGGATGTGAGTGGACAAGTGGTTCCTCATCCATTCACATGGGTCAACCAAGTAGAAACACCAGCAAGGGACTGTAGGAAGGGCTTAAGTCCCAGATCATAAGTTTAAGCAGGTCTCACTACACATCCCTATGCCATCTTCTATAGGAAACAATACCATCAGTTTGCCCGTTTTTGATGTGTTTATTTCATGGATTTATTATTTATCTGACCTACAGAACTAAATTCTTTATGTTTTTCTTTTTTCCTATATTATTCTACATATGTACCTATTTTTACTTATAAAAATATATACAATTTAGATTTATGGGCATTGCCATTGAATATTTTTGTAATTATTTTTGAAATTCTACATTCTAATTCTGGATGGCCATGTTATCCCAGTAAGGGGAAATATCACAATTGATATATCTAAAATTCTTTGGATATTTTGAATAGTTTCCAGTTTTCTTCATGTTATAGTAAACAGGGAAACATGGAGCTGGCTGGCTGTGCAGGCCACTGGCCTGAGGCTGGGGGAGTCTGAGCTATGTCGGAAAGGGAACCTGTGTCTACCCTGTGGCTGTTACTAGGAATCCAGCCTGTAAGAGCCTGGTCTGTGGGAGGACGGAAGCTCCAGGTGAGAGCTGAGGCTGGCTTCAAAGTCTGCCAGCTGTAGACACGATTGCATCTTGTTTTGTTAATCCTCACCCAAAGGTATTTTTCCATTAACTTTTTTTTTTTTTAAGGAAGTGGAAGAGGGAAGGAAAGACAAACATCAATGTGAGAGAAACATTTATAGGTTGCCTCCTGCACGAGCCCTGAGCAGGGCCTGGGCCGGGGAGGAGCCGGCAACCAAGGTTTGTGCCCTTGACTGGAATCGAACCCAGTACCCTTTGGTCTGCAGGCTGGTGCTGTATCCACTGAGCCAAACCATCGAGGGCAACACGATTGCATCTAAATTATGTCAATAGGTCTATGTCTATAGGTCAGTAAGTCTTGGATTTCTCCTGTCAAGTTTTGATTGGAAGGGGAGTGGAATGAAACAGATACATGGCTATATTACACTACTAGCTGATAGGGCAGGTGAGAGGATTTCCATACTGCTGTGTGGTGGTCACAGTCATTACACCCTAAAAGTGTGTGTGTTTTTAACATGTTTTTATTCACTTCAGAGACTGGAGAGGGATAGTAACATCAGTGATGAGAGAGAATCATTGTTTGGGTACCTCCCACACACCCTCTACTAGGGAATCCCAAAACCTGGCATTTGCCCTGGCCAGAAATCAAACTGTGACATCCTGGCTCAGGGGTGGACTCTCAATCAGAGCCAAACTGGCTGGACAGGCCTAAATGTTTTTAAAATTCAGTTTGGCTCACAAAACTGATGAAGCAGGTTTATGTTTGGGGTCGCATGATAGGCAGAAGGATGGCCCTCCAATGATGTCCATGTCCTAATCCCTGGAATTTTCGAATATGTTGCCTAACGTGGCAAAGGGGATTAAGGTACTAACAGCTGATTTTAAAAGATTGTCCTGGATTACCTGGCTGTGCCCTCTATCGTCACAAGTTTCCTTAAAAGTGGCGGAGGGAGGCAAAGGAAGGTCTGATGGGATGTGAGGACTCAGCCCACTCGCTGTTGCTGGCTGTGAAGACAGATGGAGCAAGGGCCCATCAGCAAGTTGGGAAAGACAGGACAAACTGTTCCTCTAGAGTTTCCAAGGGAACGTGGCCCTCCCAACAGCCTGATTTCAATTCCGTGGGACCTGTCAGACTTATGACCTACAGAACCATAAGTGAGTTCCTGCGTTTTAAGCCACTAAGCTATGGTAATTGTTGTAGCAGCAATACCAAACTAATACAGGTGGGAACCAATAGTCCCCCCTTTTTTTCTTTTGTCTTTAAATATATTTTTATTGATTTCGGAGAGGAAGTGAGAGAGAGAGAAACATCAATGATGAGAGAAAATCATTGATCTGCAGCCTCCAACATGCCCCACACTGGGGATGGAGCCGGCAACTTGGATATGTGTCCCTGGCCAGAATCGGACCCGGGACCCCTTCACTCACTGGCAGACGTTCCATCCATTGAGCCAAACTGACTAGGGCCCCATTCCCCCCCCCCCCCCCCAAAAAAAAACACACACAAAACTATAAGGAAAAAGCGTATTTAAACAGTCGCAAAGGAAGTAGGTCATAGGGGAAATGGCCCCAGGAAACAGGAGGCAAAAGAAAAAAGGAGGGGTGGCTGCAGCTTAGGAGAAAGCCAGAGAGACAGGGAACGCGCCCAGGGGCAGGAACCCGCATTCTTTTTTTTTTTTTTTTTTTTTTTAAATATATATTTTATTGATTTTGTACAGTGAGGAAGGGAGAGAGATAGTTAGAAACATCGATGAGAGAGTCATCGATCAGCTGCCTCTTGCACACCCCCTACTGGGGATATGCCCGCAACCAAAGTACATGCCCTTGACCGGAATCGAACCCGGGACCTTTCAGTCCCCAAGCCGACGCTCTATCCACTGAGCCAAACCGGTTTTGGCAGGAACCCGCATTCTTAACCAGGCTGTGCAGCTAGCTGATGGGCAGTCTGGTCTGGGAGCCCGGACAGACCTACCTACCTGTCTCCTGCTACTCATCCTTCCAACCCTCTTCCTGGCACAGACCCACCCTGGGGCCTGTCCTGGGGCTGTCCGAGCCCTGCTCCTTTGCCAGCCTCTGGCCTCCCCACGCCGCTCCCCCCGCGGCCACGGCGTTCCGGACGGCTGCTGCCCGCTGCCCGGCGGTCCGGCCGGACCACGTCTGCGGGCACCTCCTGGCGCAGGAGGGCAGGCAGCGCCCTCACAGACCGGACAGCGACCCGGCAGCTGGCAGGCGAGGGCGCGCCATGAGCCCGCCACGGAGCCACGGGCAGCGGGGCCAGGGCGTAGGGCGAGGCCGACCCAAGACGCGCTAACGAGGGTCCAGCCGGAGCCTGCACCGGTGCGCTGGGGGCCGCGGCCCGGCGGGCGCTGGGACCACCTGCACCCACCCGCCCGCCCCGCAGCGGAGAGGCCCGCCGCGCCGCGTGAGGAGGCAGCGTCCAGGACGGGAAGGTGCCCGGCGGCTCCCCCGCGACCCCCACCCCCAGCCGCTCGCCGCCTCGGCCGGGGACCCCAGGCCCCGCGCGCCGCCGCAGCCCCGGAGCTCCGCCCCGACACCGGAAACCCGGCTCCTCCGACAACGCTGACTGGTTGTTGCTTTGACCCGCCCACACGTCGTACGCTCTCCCTACCGCGCGTGCGCGCCGTCATTCCGGAAACAGAATGGCGGAGGAGGAGGCTTTGGGGTTCGAACACATGGGCCTGGATCCCCGGCTCTTGCAGGTACCCGGCGGGGCTGATGGGCCGGGCCGGTGTGGCCGGAGATGGGGGGCTGAGGGGCCTGGGCGGGGGGGCGGGGGGGGCGGGCTGAGGGGCCTGGGCGGGGGGGCGGGCTGAGGGGCCTGGGCGGGTGGCGGGCTGAGGGGCCTGGGCGGGTGGCGGGCTGAGGGGCCTGGGCGGAGTGGCAGGGGTGGAGGATGCTCGCCCCTGAGCCTCCCCCGTCTCCTAGGCCGTCACGGACCTGGGCTGGTCGCGGCCCACGCTGATTCAGGAGAAGGCCATCCCGCTGGCCCTGGAGGGGAAGGACCTCCTGGCTCGGGCCCGCACTGGCTCGGGGAAGACGGCCGCCTATGCCATTCCCATGCTGCAGCTGCTGCTCCACAGGAAGGCGGTGGGTGCGGGAGGCGGGGCGGGAGCGGCAGGCTGTCTTGTCATGAGCCTTTCTCAGGAACCGGGCTGTCTTTTGGCTTCTTTCCTGTGAGGGGAGGTCCGCAGAGCCTCTTTCTGTGGTGGCAAACGTCTGGGCTGGAGTTCGGGTCACCTGGGTCCTAGCCGAGGCCTTCTTGAGTAAATCTCTTTCTGCTGTGAAAACTGGACATGTTCCCCCCGCCGTCGTAGCCTGTTGTGAACCTCCAGCCCAGGGACTAAAGTAACTTGAGGACCATAAAGTCAGCCGCTCTTTTTGAGGGTCAGCACCTGGGGGAAGACCCTCTGCTCCACTTTCTGGGGTGGGAGAAGCAAGCACCAAGTGGTGTTGGGTCATAGCAGCTGGCCATCGCCTGGAGGAGCACCAGGGGCCCGATGACAGGGACTGGCTGCCTCAAGGCTGATTCCTGCTCCTGCAGACCGGCCCCGCGGTGGAGCAGGCTGTGCGCGGGCTTGTCCTCGTGCCCACCAAGGAACTGGCGCGGCAGGCCCAGTCCATGATTCAGCAGCTGGCCGCCTACTGTGCCCGAGACATCCGGGTGGCCAACGTCTCCGCCGCCGAGGACTCAGCCTCTCAGAGGTGGGCGAAGGCACCGGGCTACGAGGGATGGAGCTGCATGGAGGCGGAGAGAGGTTGCGGGAAGGAAGGGGTGAGGTCCTAGCGGCGCCTTCTCCCTGACCTGAGGTGTTGCCGCCTGCAGAGCCGTGCTGATGGAGAAGCCTGACGTCGTGGTGGGAACCCCGTCACGCATACTGAACCACTTGCAGCAAGACAGCTTGAAGCTGCGGGACTCCCTGGAGCTGCTGGTGATGGACGAAGCCGATCTCCTCTTCTCCTTTGGCTTTGAGGAGGAGCTCAAGAGCCTTCTCTGGTATGGAAGAGGGGGTGGGGGTGAGTGGCGCTGGGCCTGGGGCAGGTGGCCCGGACCCTGGCTACCGCAGGGAGAGGCCCTGGGAGCTGGAGGCTGATGGAGGTCTGTTTTATTTCAGTCACCTGCCCCGGATTTATCAGGCTTTTCTGATGTCGGCTACCTTTAACGAGGACGTGCAGACGCTCAAGGAGCTGGTCCTGCATAATCCAGTGAGTTCCCACCAGGCATCTGCCGCCGCTGACGTGTGCGCTCAGAGGGCGTGGTGTTTGGGAGAGGACAGTAGTCACTGGTTTAACCTCCCTGGTTCTGAATCACTAGCAGCCAATAGTCCGTCAGCACCCTCTCCACGTCTAAAATCATGTCCCCTAGGGGTCACCTAAAGGTCTGAGCAGGGACCCCCAAGGACAGAAAGGCTGCCGTTAGCAGCAGGGCCAAAGTTCTCTACTTTGTGACCTCTCTTCCCGAGAAAGGTGGCTGCTATAGGGCGTCCTGCTCACTACAGTCTGTGCCCCAGATACTTTGCATGTAGTGCCATGGCTATTATACCCCACAAGGGCCAGGGTCCTCTGAAACCGTGTGCCAGTGGAGGGGGCTGTGGTGCCCGGCAGCAGCTTATGGGAGCATTTCTGCCTTCTTTCCTGACCATGGGCCTGTCCCCCCAGGTTACCCTCAAGTTGCAGGAGTCCCAGCTGCCAGGGCCAGAGCAGCTGCAGCAGTTCCAGGTGGTCTGCGGCACGGAGGAGGACAAGTTCCTGCTGCTATACGCCCTGCTCAAGCTGTCGCTGGTTCGGGGCAAGTCCCTGCTCTTTGTCAACACCCTGGAGCGCAGCTACCGGCTGCGCCTGTTCCTGGAGCAGTTCAGCATCCCCGCCTGCGTGCTCAACGGGGAGCTGCCCCTGCGCTCCAGGTGGGCAGTGGCTCTTCGGGGGTTGGGGGTTGGGCAGGAGACCCTCGATGGGTGTTTCTTAAGAGCTTAGAGCCCAGGCTCTGGGCTGGTAGATAGTTGGTGACTCTGCCGCAGACTCCGAGGTACCCCCTGTTCCTCTGTCTTCAGCAAGGGGGTGGGCCAGAGGCCAAGTAGGGGGAGAGGGAGGGAGACGCCAGGATGATGGCATGGTGGTGCTGGGGGTGCAGCGCTGCCTCCACCTTGCTCCTCACTGACCCTCCCCTTGGGCCGCAGGTGCCACATCATCTCACAGTTTAACCAAGGCTTCTACGACTGCGTCATAGCGACTGATGCCGAAGTCCTGGGCGCCCCGGCCAAAGGCGGGCGGCAGGGCAAAGGGCCCAAGGGGAACAGGTGCGTCCACATTTTTGTCCTTCCAGCCCTCCTCAGGGAGACCGAAACCAGAGTGGGAGCCAGGCTGGGGTGCTGGGCCTGGAGGAGGGTGCAGAGGGCTCACCCGGTCCCTGGAGGCACACCTTGGCGGCATGGGGTGCAGCTGGGGGAGGGAGCCTGCAGTCTGTCTGCGCAGTGGGTTCTTGGGTCACCTGTGAGGCCAAGTTCCCCTGTTGCCTCTGAGCTGGGGGCAGGGCCAGGGTGTGGCTCCCCTCTGCCCAGCTCCTGGAACAGTTCTGGATGTAAAGGGTCTTATGCTGTTAGGGCCCTGGGGCTCACACAGCTTAGTTCTGAGACCCTGCTGAGTAAAGGCCAGCGGGAGAGCGGGGGTGAGTCTGCTATGGGTGTTTCCTGCAGGGCCTCTGATCCGGAGGCGGGGGTGGCCCGTGGCATAGACTTCCACCATGTGTGTGCCGTGCTCAACTTCGACCTCCCCCCTACCCCTGAAGCCTACATCCATCGAGCCGGCAGGTAGGAGAGCTGGGTGGCAGGCTGGGCACCTGGACTGAGGGCACCCTCAGGACTCAGGCCAGAGACGGGCTGTGCCCTCTTTTTGCAGGACGGCACGTGCCAACAACCCAGGCGTAGTCTTGACCTTTGTGTTGCCCACGGAGCAGTCCCAGCTGGGCAGGATTGAGGAGCTTCTCGGTGGAGGTAAGAGCAAGGCCCGGCTGCTCCCAGGACCTGGGACACGGGCTGCAGTGGTGGCAACAGATTAGGAACCATAGCGTGACCAGCTGCTACCTTCCTGCTCACCACGCTTGCCCCACGTTCTTCGCTGCATCCTCATCCTGCCCCTGGTAGCAGGCACCGCCCTTCACAGACAAGCAGGCCCAGGTCCCGGGCCACATTTCCTGCCTGCCCGGGGCAAAGGCTGAGGGCGCCAAGGGGGTTCTGGGAGACAGGGAAGAGGCGGCCCCGGGAGAGGGAGCTCTATGGGCAGCCAGGCTGTCAGAAGAAGACGGTGGAGGGTGGACAGGCAGGCTGCCCACGCCCAGGATGCTAAGGGCACAGAGTCCAAAGGCACCTTGGGAGAGCAGGTGGCTGGGCAGGTCCTGAGGATGAAGGACGCATGACAGCCAGGACTTAGGACATGGGCTGCCTGGCCGTAGGATCCTGGGGGACTGGTGTCCTATCGGCAAGACCCAGGTGTCTTGCTCTGTGGACAGGTCACCTCGCAGGAAGAGCCGGAGAGAGGCTGCTGCCTCACCCTGGGGAGGGCGGATACGGGGGGCAGGGCTCTGCAGCCGGGACCACTCACTGCTGCTTCTCCACAGAGAACGGGGCCCCCGCCCTGCTTCCCTACCAGTTCCGCATGGAGGAGATTGAGGGCTTCCGCTACCGCTGCAGGGTGAGCGCCGGGCAAGCAGGGGCTCCTGCGGGGCGGGGCGGGGCGGGGGGGCGGGAGCCCGGCGTCCTGACCTCGGTGTCACCCAGGACGCCATGCGCTCGGTGACGAAACAAGCCATCCGAGAAGCAAGGCTGAAGGAGATCAAGGAGGAGCTCCTGCACTCGGAGAAGCTGAAGGTGAGGAGGTGCCATGCTCGGTGCCGAGTCCTTGGCAGACGGGCCGTTCGGCTGGGAGGTGACTCGGTGAAGGACAGTTGCCATTTCATAGTGACGGCTGCGCTGCACTGCCGTGTGCCTCCGAACTGGGAGCGTGGGACGGGGAAGCCAGAGCCTATCAGCTGTCTCTGGGAGAGGGCGGGGTGGCCAGGACCCTCAGCCTCAAATTCTAAACACGCGTGACCCACTCAGATCCCAGAAAAGTGTCAGGGAGACCCCTGCATCTCTGTCTCTCTCTTGTCAGACATACTTTGAAGACAACCCCAGGGACCTTCAGCTGCTGCGCCATGACCTGCCCCTGCACCCAGCTGTGGTTAAGCCTCACCTGGGCCACGTCCCTGACTACCTGGGTGAGTGGGCCCGGTGGGCCCCACGCTGGGGCGGGGTGGGGGCAGGGGCGTGGTCAGGCTCAGCTACTGTGTGTTGGGTTACGGGGCCCTGGAGCCAGGCAGCAGTGTGTGGACTCAGACACAAGCAGGTGCATTTACCACACGACCCCAGGGGGCGCTGCTCTCTGTGGTGGGGACAGCGCCCAGAGGGACAGGGAGGGAGCTGTCCTCGTTACGCAGGAGCAAAGGCATTTGCCAACAGCGAGTGGCCTGCCGGCCGGGGTGTCAGACTGCTGCTCAGAGGCCTCTGACCACGGCCTGGCTGGAGGTGAGGGCAGAAGCCAAGGTCCTGCAGCCCCTTGGGAAGATGTGTCTGACAGGTGAAGGGACGCTGTGGGGAGCGGCCTCCAGTTTGGGGTGAATCTGTAGTGACGGTCATGTGTGGGGCAACCACCCACAGATCTTTTCCCTATTTTAGTAGCATTTCTTTAAGAACATGCCTTCATTTCCTTACACGATTATTGCAACAAACTGCAATGTCAAATGGCTGTGTGACTGTAGGCACTTGAACGTGAGGCTGGAGTGTGGCCCTGAGTCAGGACGGGAGAGAGGTCACAGCAGGGCCCAGAGGGCATGTGGTTGAGGGGTCAGGCAGGGTTGGCAGCTGCTGAGGCCACGTGTCTCTTCCAGTTCCTCCTGCTCTTCGGGGCCTGGTTCAGCTGCACAGGAAGCGGAAGAAGCCGTCTTCCAAGAAGGTCAAGGTGTGTGTGGGTGTGTGTGTGTCTGTCTGTCTTCCCCACCTTGGCAGCTGTGGTCTCCCCCTCCTGGTTCATTGTCACCCGGTCTGCCCACACCTTGGAGAGTGGTCCCAACATCTGGCCAAAACTCCTGGCCACCAGGTCAGAGCAGGGGCTGGGACTCCTGCAGCCGCCCGCGTGTGCCTTCACAACCAGGACGGGCTGGCTGTCCCACTGCCGTCCAGACTGCAGGGGCCACAGCAGCGTCTGTGCTGGCCCTGGGCTATCTCACTCGGGCGTTCTCCAGCTGACCTCCAACCTTCCCCCACAGAAGGTGAAGGCCCAGAACCCACTGCGCAGTTTCAAGCACAGAGGAGAGAAGCGCAGAGCCAGGGTGGTGCCCTCCTGAGGTCATCCAGGCGGCCTCAGCTCTCTTCCCGGCCTTGTGGGGCTGAGCACAGCGGGAATGTGGGGTTACCCCTCAACGGAGGGACTGGTTCCTGCCCTGGACGAATGCATAGGCTCTGGAGCAGGCAGACTGGCCTCCAGATCCGTGCGTGACCCTGCCAGCCGCATTTTGTGCCTTCAAGATGGAATAAAGATTCTGGCTGCCTCGTCTGGCCTCCTGCAGGTTTCAGCCCTCTGAAACCGCTTCTGGGAGGCAGTGCTGGCGCTCTGTCTGCTGCGTGCAGCCCCAAGGCCAGCAGGGGTAACCGTGCCGCCCTGCAGCAGGGCCTTCAGGCCTGGGAGATGCCTGTCCTGTCCAGGTCTCTTTCCAGCCCACACCTGCTCCTGTGCCTTCCTGCTTGGGTCACACTGACCAGCCTCCATCCCCTGAAGCGCCAAAGCGACAGCTCACCCACTGGAAAGTGGGGCTCTGCTCACCTCAGACTCTTTGCCTCCCCTCCTCGGGCCGCCGGGGACACAGCTCCTGGCACTGCTGCTCCCATCAGCACTGCTGTGCGTGTGCCAAGGGCATGGGTGGTACTGTGATGGCTCACACACCTCGCTCTTTGCTCTCCACTTGGCCGGGAGGGTCCCCCAGGCCAGGCCTCCCAGCTCCTGCTGCCAGATGAGGGCTCTGAAGCTGCCCTTGGTTGTGGCCCTCATCCCAGGACCACCATCTGCTTGGCAGGTGTGAACGGGCGAGATGCTGGAGCGGGGCCCTGCCACCACTGGTCAGGTGTGAACGGCCAACGCTGTGGAGAGTGCCCCTGGGCATTTCCTTCAGGCCCCACACAGGACACTGAGGGCCTCATGGGTTGGACTTGTCTGTCTGGTGCTGAAGCGTCTGCCCTTAAAGAGCATGTGAAGGGTCCCTGGGCCGGGAAGGCAGGGGTGGGGCCAGCCACTAAGCAGCTCTGAGCAGCTCAGCGTTTCCAGGCACCCATGGCACCCTGGGACTGTTGGGAGGTCTGCGCTCTGCTGGTACAATCACACCCGCTCCTGATGGGCACTCTGTGCCAGAGACCAGGGAGTTGGGCAGGCACGCCCCGTGCAGTGTGCAGCTTTGCGGGGGGTGGAGGGTGTCAAAAATCAGTCCTTCACCCAGCTCGCCTGGCTCAGCCTTGGAGCAGTGAGCGAGCACCGGGAGGTCACAGCCAGATTCCTGGTCAGGACACATGCCCAGGTTCCAGGCTCAATCCCCAGTAGGGGGCGTGCAGGAGGCAGCTGATCAATGATTCTCTCATTGATGTTTCTGTTCTCTCCCTTCCTCTGAAATCAATAAAAACAAATAAACGAATCAGGCCTTCAATGTGCCCCATCTCCCACAGTTCGAAAAGCATCTGTCTGCCCTACAACACCTATTGGGTAGGCCAGGTGCTGGACGGGGGCCAGAGGCAGCGGGGGCGGTGCTCAATAGCCAGCCTTTGGGGTGTCCAGTATATAAGGAGGTTACCCAGAGCTCATCCAGCTGGAGGAGCTGGTGCTGGCTGCCCGGGCAGGTGGGCCTGGAAGGTGGGTGGGAGCAGCATCCTGTTTAAGTACTAGGTGGGGGCCAGCACGGCAGGATGAAGCAAAAATCGGAGGGGTCACAAAAATAGGCAGAGGCTGAGAAAGCCATTTCATTTACGTTTGAAAACCCAGTTCCTGTTCACAATTCAAGGGCACAGGCGGTCTCTAAGGGGAGCGCCTGCTGAGGTGCCCAGAGGGGCGATAACGGGCAGATATTGCCGGAAACCGACCCATGAGCAGAGCATGTGAGCCCACCTCCTTCATGCTGGTGCCGTCTGAGCCTTCGTGACTCAGAACCACTGACTCAGCTTTAGGAACCAGTTGGCCTTGGGACTTTGGCCTCCAGGGCATTGTCCCGGGAGGAAATGACAAGCCAAAAACCAGGCAGGAAGAGCCTCTGCCTATGTCACCCCCAGTGTCTAACGGAGCTTTCGGGGGTCCTGCCTGCTCTGTGCTGGTCATGGCCATTTTATGTGGGGAAGAAAGCGCAATCCAAGAGGGGGGGAGGGCAGGTGCCAGCCCAGCCTTCCCTTATGGTAGGGGCCATCACAGAGCTCTCCCCGCAGGAAGCAGTGGGAGTGTGGCCGGCTGAGCTGCAGAGCTGCATTTCAGGGTGGTCAGTCCTCAGGAGCAGCCTTTGTGGGGCCCATGATGTGCTGCCTCCCTGGACTCCTGTAAGTGGGGGACACACCCCCACACCGACTCCGCACACAGGCCCCTCAAACCAATGCACCTTCCAATCAGTGTCCTCTCTGAGGTGTTGCCCGCAGGGCTGGGCCGGGCCTGAGAGTCTGCACTCCTAGGGCCTCCTTGCAGGACTGACCCAGGCCCCATTGAGGAGCACATACCTTCCCATTTTACCAAGGGAGTATGCTGCAGCCTCACCGCCGACTCAGTGGCAGAGGAGGAGGTGCAGGTCTGTGCCTTGACCCGGCACCGGACGTTAGCTGAGTGCAGTCCTGCCCTGACCCTTCAGCCTCAGGTTTGTCCTGAGGTGCTGTGATGATGGGCGTCACTTTTAGCATACGCATATCCCAAGCGATGTTGGGATACATGAAACAACTATGTAGTTCATCTGAAACTCAAAACTGGCTGGTATTTCTGGCCGGTGTGGCTCAGCTGTTGAGTGTTGACACTGAACCAAAGGTTGCTGGCTCAGTTCCATTCCTGAGCATGTGCCCTGGGTGGCGGGCTTGGATCCCCAGCAGGGCTGTACCAGAGGCAGCCAGTCGATGAAGCTCCTCTTCCATCCATGTTTCTATCTCTATCCTCCTCGCTGCTTCTCCCTTATAAAAACTACAGGGGAAACCAACATGGCGGTATAGGTAAACATCTAAACTGCTGCCTCACACAATTTCAAAACCACAAGAGACAAAACATCTATCACCCAGAACCACAGGAAAGCTGGCTGAGTGGAAGTTCTACAACTAGAAGGAAAGAGAAAAGAGCATTGAGATGTGTACAAGCGCTGAAAAACAGGTACGGAGGTGTGCGAATTGGGCTGGTGGTGGGCAACTGGGCGTGCTGCTTCTTTCAACCCAAAGGGAGACAAGCTCCTGATTACTCTGAACTCCAGTTTCTGGGGAGACGCTGGGAACCCAAACTCCTAAGGGGAGAAGCTGGACTATCTGCCGTCGGGTCGGGTTGGAAAGTGAGGGTGGCTTTCTTGCAGAGGTGCGCCCAGCAATCGTTTACTGCGCTGGGGCGTGGGACACAGGGACTTGGAAACATGGAGATGCAGAGACAGCTGACTGGCAGCCATTGGCCACACCCTAGCCTAGTGACTCCCTGAGACCCCACCCCACACAATCTACAAACCCACCCAAGCTTTGTACAGTGGTCTTTGCATATAAATGGCCTGCCCTATCGCAGCTTAACAAACTGCAGCTCTGGTCAGGCAGCTCCAAAACCTCCAAACCCCAAGCAAAGAGGAGAAGCTGTAATCCTTGCTGTAGCTCCTGCTGAGTGGCCTCAGACAGTGCTGACCTGCACATCATTGGAGATTCAAAAGCTAGTGTATCTAATGGTTAGTGTGAGATGACACCAGATTTCAACTCCTCACATCCATAAGTGACACACTCAAGAGGCAGACTCAGTGAGCACCAAAGTCCCACTGAAGCAAGTCCTGCCCCAGAAATGTGTCTCCAGCACAGCAGTTCTTCTATATAGACACAATAGGTCCTTACAGCCAATTGGCCTGGAGGTCAATTCCTCCCAGTGATACCAACAGCAATCAAGGCTTAACTACACCAAGACTTTTCACTCAGCCCACAAAGGGGGGCACCAAGAGTGTCCACCTCAGGTGATAGGGGAGGTTGAACCACTGGGCTCTTATAGGTTACCTACCGCAGAAAACCACTCCATCAACACGAGGAAGCAGCAAAATGTAGAGGCAAAGAAACATGCCATGAATGAAAGAAATGGAGGAAAGCTAATTACTGGACATAGAGTTCAAAACCACCGTTATAAGGTTACTCAAAAATCTTCTAAAAACCACTGAGAAACTTGATGAGACCTCTGAGGAGCTTAGTGAGACCTTCAAGGACCTTAATGAGAATGCCTGAAAAATGGAAAAGGACCAATCAGAAATTAAGCATACACTCTCTGAAATAGAGAATATACAGAAATTCAACTGTAGATCAAAGGACCCAAGAATCAAACCAAAGATCTGAAATGTGCCAAAATCGGTTTGGCTCAATGGATAGAGTGTCAGCTTGGGGACTGAAAGGTCCCGGATTCGATTCCAGTCAAGGGCATGTACTTTGGTTGCGGGCATATCCCCAGTAGGGGGTGTGCAAGAGGCAGCTGATCGATGACCCTCTCTCTCATTGATGTTTCTAATCTCTATCTCTCTCCCTTCCTCTCTGTACAAAACCAATAAAATATATATATATTTTTAAAAATCTGAAATGTGAGGAAACAAAAATACCCAACCAGAAAAAGAAAAAGAAAAAAGAATCCGGAAAAACCAAGATGGCAGCCTAGGTAAGCACCTAAACTGCTACCTTGCACAACAATCTCAAAACAACTAAAAGAATGGTCGAAATCGGTTTGGCTCAGTGGATAGAACATTAGCCTGCAAACTGAAAGGTTCCAAGTTCGATTCCAGTCAATGGCATGTACCTTGGTTGTGGGCACATCCCCAGTAGGGGGTGTGCAGGAGGCAGCTGATGAATGGTTCTTTCCCTCTCTCTTCCTCTCTGTAAAAAATCAATATAATATATTTTTAAAAGACATAATGGACAACATCCAAAACCACAGAAAAGTTGGCTGAGTGGAAAATCTACATATAGAAATGAGAGAGATTCACAGATCAGGGGAGCAGCAAAACCCTGAGGTAAAGAGACGTGCGTGCACAGAGAGGAAGGGTGGCCAAGTGCCTGGCTGGCATGAGGGGAAAGGAAGCCCCTGACTGCACTGAACCCCAGCCCAGCCTAAACCCCGTGGACCCAG